CTGCCTCCCAGCAATTTACTGCTTTGCAGCAAACTGGGGCTTGCGGAGCCTTCAATAAGCTGTAGCAATCCCTGCAGCCTCTAACAGCTGATGATCGGGAGAAATTGAAAGTGAAACCTGTTTGCTCCACATGGCAAATTGCTGGGAGGCAGATTTTTTTTTCTTGCGCTAATCAGGTTGTTTGCTGCAAGGAGGTAAGTCAACAACTATAAATGCCTATAGAATGTTCAAATTGACTGTAGACTTACCTCTATGTGTGCTGCGATGGGAATCCAAACATGGATTAACTTTGTCCATTAGCCTAGAGACTGAGTTACGTAATTGTTGACCATGCCTCCTCTGACTGGGATAGTTCAGTTTTGTACGAAGGCTCAGTCGATCCAGGAGAAGCAAAAGAATCAGCAGGCAAGAAATAAAGTAGGTAAGTGTGTGTGAGATGGAGATAATGTCTGTGCCCAGACCAGCCGAAGCCGAGGGCGGGTTTGGATTCCCCTCGCAGTGCACATAGAAGGACTGTTCAGGTAAGTCAACGGTCGTTCTCCTGTGCGCTGCTTGGGGAATCCAAGATGGGACATGCCAAAGCAATGAGTGTCAAGGGCGGGACGCAGGCTGGTCAGGGGCCATTGCTGATGCTACAACCCTCTGTAAGACACGTCACCCAAAGGAAGCCTCCGCCTAGGCATACATATCCACTTTGTAATGATGGATGAAGGGCGACGGTGATGACCAGGTTGCCGCCCTACATATGTCCTTCACCGAGGCCTGCGCTGCCCATGCTGCCATGGTGGCCGCACTCCTGGTGGAATGAGGAGTGATGTGTCTGGGTGCCGGTCAAGGTTGGGATTCGTAAGCGAGGGCAATGCACGCCTTCAACCAGCATCCAATTGTGTTTGATGACACCTTTTGACGCATGGATGCTGGCTGGAAGGACACGAAAAGACCTCTGATCTCCTGAATGATGCCGTGCGCTTCACATAGTGACGGAGCACCCTGCGAACATCGAGATGGTGCCACTTCCATTCTTGAGGGTGTGACGGATTGGGGCAAAAATCTGGAAGGATGAGTTCTTGCGCCCTGTGGAACAAGGAGTTGACTTTTGGCAGGAATGCCGGGTCCAATCGCAATAGGACTCTGTCTTGATGAATACACAGAGATCCTCCCGCACTGAAAGTTCCGCCAGTTCCGAGACTCTTCTAGCGGATGTAATCGCTACTAAAAAGATGGTTTTGAGGGTCAACAATATAAGACTGATGGTACGAATGGGCTCGAATGGCTTAGCTGTGAGGGTTCTAAGTACTAGGGCAAATCTCATGTAGCGTAAAGGTGGACTACTGGTGGTTTGAGATTAGACACGCCCTTCAAGAAGGACCGGACTCTCGGATGGCGAGCGAGGGAATGGCCCTGGGCGCCTCCCACCACCGTCGACAATGCCGCAATCTGCCTTCATAAGGTTCTGGGCATCAGCCCTTTGTCCAAGCCTGACTGCAAAAAGTCTAGGACCCGTGGAATAGAAGATTTAAGAGGGTCCACTGATACTGTCCGGCACCACCTGCAAAATGCTTGCCAGGTGGCTTCATAAATGTGTGTCGTGGATGGGCGGCAAACAGCTTGGATCATGGCGATGATCTTGTCAGAGAAGTACTGACGCTTCAGAATCGCCTGCTCACGTGCCACATGGCTAATTGTAACAGCTAAGGGTTCGGACGAGTGAGAACCCCTTGCAAGAGCATTATCTGAGCGTCTGGTATTCTCCATGGTCGGGAGACTGAGAGGTGGACCAGGTCGGCATACCAAGGGTGTCTGGGCCACATTGGCGTGACCAGGAGAACTTCCGCCTGCTCCAGCAGAATCTTCTGGATGACCAGCGGTATGAGTGGAAGAGGCAGGAAGGTGTATAGAAGACCCTCCGGCCAGGGGCTGCAAAGGGCGTCGGTGCCTTCCGCTCCTGGAGTGTAATACCTGGTGAAGAACCTTGACAGATGTGCATTGTGCGGTTGAGCAAAGAAGTGCACCTGGGGCCAGCCGAAGCAGTGGGCCAGTTCCTGGAATACAGCCGGATGGTCCACTGTGGTTCTGCTCAGCCAATCCGCCTGTACATTGGCTGTGCCCAAAATGTGCTCCGTCCGAAGTGGTAACAGGTGAATCTCCACCCAATTGTGAAGGCATTCCGCTTCCAGCATCAATGCCCGGGATCTGGTGCCCCCCTGGCAGTTGACATGTGCCTTGGAGGTTACATTGTCTGTGAGAACCAACACGTGGTTGGTCGACAGCAGGTCTCGAAAGTCGCGGAGAGCTAGGCGGATCGCTCGAAGCTCTAG